CCCCAAAACCCCAAAACCCCAAAACCCCAAAACCCCAAAACCCCATAATTATTTGCAAATATTGAACATGCTTATATTATTCCGTAGCTCAATGATGTCTGGATTCTCCAGTTTGAGCTAGTTGCTTCAAGTTCAATAAACTTAGATTGCTTTGGGCCTACTCTTATATTCAGCTCTGTTGAATCTGTCCCTTTAATCTTGAGCCCTCTCAATTTGAATTTAATTTGCTCCTCTAAAAATAAGTGTTATATCTTACCAAGAGTTCTATCTTCAGTTTTATTATCGTAGAAATATCATAATCCTCCTCCATGCTTTAAGGTCCTAACAAAAATATCTACTGGCTCTCCCGACACAGGGTCTTTCCTCACAGTCAATTTTCCAATTTTCTGGGCTCTTGCTTTTAGAGCTTCGGTATTGAGTAATATAGTTGAACTGAATGTAAAAGTCAGTTTATAGCTTGTAGGATTTGTTTGCCTTAAAAGAACTATTTTCTTTTCTTGTGGTTTTACCAAAACTTCATATCCATCTCCACTAAATGGCTTTACTAGTTCTAATCCTTGAAAACGAGTGTATGTGACAACTTCTTTTAGGCTAGCATTCAAGCTGTCGTTACAGAAGAAGTTATAGCCGTACCCCTCCTGTCACATCTGGTGGTACTTCACACAGCCTTCAGCTCCTTCGTCTTCGAATGTGGTCTCCGTGCCATGTTGGAGCGCTCACGACATGAAGACTTGCTCCAGAAAGTCAGGGTGTTCGCTCTTTTCGTCTCTGATGAAGTGGGCTTCTGACGAGCCGTACGACGACAACACGAAGTTGTTAACTTCTTCGGTCTGCCAGTCGACTTCGACGTATCACAAGTAGTCTCCAGCACCGAGCATTTCGTTTTGCCAGACTTCTCGGTCCATGCCCATTTTGCCGAAGATGTACTCCAGAGAGCCGTCCTCGACGACCCTGGCCACAATGAGTCGGGCGTTCGAGTACTCGTACTGCTGGGTACGAGCGAAGCAGCGTTTGTCTTTCTGGTTGATAGACAGGTAGACTTCGGAGTCTTCTTCGAGAACCATGCGGATGATGGAGCAGCCTCCTTTTTCGTGGAAGGCTTTGGTGGAGGAATACTTGTAGCCGGCATGGAGACATCAAATTTGAACTCTCGAGAAATAATGAGTAAAATCAACAAAGCTCATCCAGAATGTTCCATCATCTATATCTTGGAAATTTAACTCAAGTTTTAAGTCTTTAGTCCAGTTTGCTGATTGATCAGACCAATCTCCTGTCCATTCAAAATCACCCCATGGATTCCTTAACTTTATTAATTTTTCTACTCCATCTGCTGTAAGTACTTCTCTTACATCTAGAATCCCATATGAATGAAAACCAATTAATCCCATTTCTTCTAACAATTTAATAGATGATTTTGTTGATCCTGCTGATGCTGCAAGTAAAAATCCGTTATGCTTTGACTGAATCATATGGTCCCATAGTTGCTAAACAAACAATTATTTTTGCCAAGATAATACATATATTATCTATCTAAAGTTTTAAGTCAGAAAAGTTAGATCATTCTAAAGCTTTAGCCAAATTTCTAAGCTCATGTTAATTTTTAACTTACACAAACCTCAGACTTTAGCCCTTCCTTCAATCCCTCGCTTGATCAAAAAGTGTTGTCATCATGGGTTAATACTTTTGTTGGGGCTCCTGTAAGATCTCTTAACACATTTTCAGCATATCCTGCTTCTATTCTTTCATAAGATCCATGAACTTTAGCCCAGACCTTCTCCAAAAGCATTACCCAAAGTTCATCTCCGTGTGCTCTTGAAAATACAGGGGAGTTGCCTCTGCAGGGGAAATAATCGTCAACTATCACAGTTCTCCATTCTCCATTTTTGCATATTCTCAGAGCATAAATCCCAAACTCATTGACCTCAAGAGTCTCAAATAGTTCTATGATTCTTTCAGGCTTTTCAGCAAGTACTGAAAGAGAAGATAGGAAATATCAGTCTGCAAGGACTCCTTGTTTGATATCATCTGGTTCGATTCTATCTTTGAATATGCACATTTTATCCGGATTCATAATCGAGGAGGCTCTTTTCCATACAAAGTGCTTCCACTTGGGTACTTTATCCCTTACACTCTCCTCTTCCCAGTTATTAATCAAAGAAGATCTATTTGCTGGAAAAGACTCATCATTATACTGGGTTTCCTTCTCTCTGCATCTTTTAAGTCACTCCTGTATTTCTCCTTCTGAAGAAGTCTCTTGGAGAATCTTTAGGAAGAGTTGTCTTCCAAATTCTCCAAAATCTATATCATTTAGCTCCATTTTTAAATTATTACAATTCAGTTTAAATCTTTTATTGCGGGGTTTTGGGGTTTTGGGGTTTTGGGGTTTTGGGG